AAATGAGCGATAGCTCATTCGATTCACCTCTAGAAATATATTTTCGAAGGATTTTGTTGCAGGTAAAAAATTGCAATTGTTATTAACAAAATGAGATTTAAAAAAAATGTTATTCAGTTTTTCGTTAATAACTCAAAAAATATTGATATTTAAGCAGTTTCGAAAAAAGCTCGTTGAAGAGAAGGAAATTTCCGATTAAAAAGCTTCAACTCTTGAAACTCTATCTCCATTATTTCGAATTCCAATTTGACGTTGAAAATAGGGTTCCGCGCGGTTGTTACGGCATGCGCGCGCTGCCGCTAAAGAGAGTTTATCAAAAAAAATTAATTTTTTATAACATAAAATGTCATTTTGAAAATTTGAAAAACATCTAGTATCTTCTTAACACTTGAATGAAACGAGTCCCGTGAAAAAAAGTTTCATCACCATTTTTCAAAAAGTTATTCAATTGTTAACTAACAAATTTTTTCCCAATCTCCGTTGGCATAAATAATGGAATAAAAGGTATAAATAATTGGCCTATAAATTGTGAACTTCGTGGAGCTCTTTTGATATACTTCATACGATCCTGCGATAAAATTCCATGAAAATTTATCAATTTGTTAACTATGATTTTTTATGACTATTGCAAAATGAAATTGTTGATGACAATTTTTTTTTTCAATTGATATTTAGCTATGTCTGTTTTCACATTAAACAATGACAGTTATCAACATGTGATATGAATTTTTCACGTAATTTGTTTATTTATTACGTGAAAATTTCATATCCTATGTTAATAAATGCCATTGTTCAATGTGAAAAAAGACTGCTGAATATCAATTGAAAAACAAATGTTCACCAACAATTTCTAGATATTTCATTTTGCAATAGTTATGAAAAATCATAGTAAACAAATTAATAAATTTTTTTGAACTTTTATCACAGGATCGTATGAAGTTTATATATCAAAAGGGCTCCACGAAGTTTAAAATGAATAGGCCAATTATTTATACCTTCCATCCCATTATTTATGCCAACGGAGAATGGGAAAAACTTTGTTAGTTAACAATTGAATTACTTTTTGAAAAATGGTGTTAAATCTTTTTTCTCTACGGGACTCGATTTATTCAAGTGTTGAGAAGATACTAGATTTTTTTCAAATTTTTAAAATGGCATTTTATGTTATGAAAACAATTATTTCTTTTGATAAACTCTATTAAGCGGCAGCGCGCGCATGCCGTAAGAGCCGCGCGGAAACCTATTTTCAACGTCAAATTAAAATTTAAGTTATTAACGAAAAACTAAATACCATTTTCCTTAAATCTCATTTTGTTAATAGCAATTGCAATTTTTTACCTGCACCAAAATCCTTCAAAAACATTTTTCTAGGGGTGATTCCGAATCGAATGAGCTATCGCACATATTTTTAGGACCTACATCTCTATTTTTCATGTTTTTGAACTTGTTGATTGAACTAACAGTCCTGAACGTCTCCTTTTGCCGTAGAGGATCCACGTGATCATAATACGTGACGAATTGATCCGAAAAGGATCGTTTCGGTTGCGCAAAAGCAAAGAAGAACAGACTTTGAAACGGGTCTATTTTTGTCCATTGTTCAAATCGTGGGATAGCTACTTTTCGAGCTTTTTGATTTTGAAAATACTTATCTAACCATAAATAACCGCATATGAGTTGATATCCAGTTTCTCCGCTATCCCATGCACCGTTTGTGATAAGTCAGTCTCTACCAGGGTCCTCAAACCCTCGTCCTGAATAACTGTAAGACTACCACTTCGGGGCTCATCTCCGAGGCTGAAATCCCCAGAAAAAAATTTCGAAAACCAACGTCTAACAGTATGTTCATTAACACCATCAATGCCTAATGCCTGTTTGCTTTTTCAGGCTGCTTCGACAGCAGATTGGTTCAATTTGGATTTCATTAAACAGAATTTGCCAAAATCGCTGAACGACGTCATATAGTAATGAGCTGAAATAAGGCAAAAATTTAAAATTTAGCAAATATTATGTGGCATCAATGTATATAGTACGAAATTATCCATTGATCAGTATGTACCCCTAAGTAGGATGAATATTCATTGAGATATGGAGATGCAAAATGACACATTGAAATGAAAACAAACGAAAATGAGGAACTTCCATCATGATACTCATAAAACAACAGACACATTATCATAAAACAACAGACAGGAGAGTTCACCGGCTAGTATTGAACATTCTGTTCATTATTCTGAACCACTTTTGTACAAAGGTTTATCAATTACCGTTCACAACATAGTTCCAGAAAGAAAATGATACAATTAGAATCACGAGTGAATACCTACAATTTCTGATTCTGAATACGGTAATGAAAATAAAATATTTCAAAATTCCTCAAGTTAATGATTTTTTTAGAAAAATTGAATCAGTTTATAACTATGAACATATAAAAGTTGTGTCGGCAAATTTCAACACTGGAATTTTTCCTTCAGAACACAAAGTAAAACTCCGTCAAATATGCAATCGAAAGTTATTCATGAAATCAGTATTGTTCGAAATATACTGTTTGATATGTCATGTGTGGAAACGGGAAATCTACCTGAGGAACAGGTTGTTTGGCAATCAAAGAGATACAAAAATATCTAATATTGTTAACCCTATAGTCCTCGTTGAACATGAAAAAAAACAAGTTTTGACTTTGCAAGCCCTGATATTTTAGATGTTCAACCTTCATTAGATAAACAGATCTTCAGTGAAAAAACAACACTAGAGAAGACATTGGCTGCTTTTTTGATTCGTTTTCGATCTGGAATAGGGTAGATGATCAACAAAAAATCCAATATTATCTATCGACATGCCTATCAAAATTGTTATTACTTTTCTGATACCCTTCTATTGTCTACAATTGAAAAAATAATAAACAAAAACGTCCAGTGATCCCTCCTGGATATTATATTCACTTTTAAAGGGTCATTCGTTTTCGTACCTGTGATATCTGTTATACAGGGTGTATCAACGATAGGTGTATAGAATAATGAACACTATGTTTTAATGATCATGACTGATATAAAGGAGGTCTAATAGATGTGTGACAGTCCAAACTTATGTTTTTCGAATGAAATACTACAAATATTTCTACTCAATTGAATTCCTTGGGAAAAAATATGGGGATATTTAGGTTTACACCGGGTGATTCAGAAGTTACAGTGGAATTTATGTCAGAAACTCGGTTCATTTCACACCAAATATCTCCTTCTCGATCAAATGAAATGAGGAAATTTGTCAATCTTTGAGTCTCTAATATTTTTTCATTTCGTTTTCATAAAACCCGGGGTCATTTTTTTCTCAGTTTTTTCATCTAGAATATCCAAGAATAATTCAAACTATTATTAAGCATTGAAAATGTATTTAATTCTTGAGGAAACTATGGAAAAGTCGTTGAGTAGAAGCAATCACGTTTGTTTCATTCTTTATTCAGTGCTGGACGAAGCAAGTAACAAAATGAAAACAATTTCAATATGCACAAATTTATAATAAATGTTCCATTCTGGGCTATGCATGAATGTAGTCTTTCAACAATTCCCTTTCAATTGAAATTGAATTTGTGACCCATGAAGTTTTCTGATCCTATGGGTATGGACCCAAGCATACCTCCATCTTTGAAAAGCAAATTGCGTAGTATCCTATGTGCAGAAACATAAGTTTGGTTTGTCACATATTTGAAAAAAATATGTTTGAAATATCTTTTTTCCGTTAACCAGCTATCGCACCCCTACGAACGACAGCCCTCAGAAGTCGAAACTTGTGCGAGCTGAGGACTAACGAGGTTTTACCTTTTAACGTGTGATTCCTAACACGGGTTGGACGATAGTAAGTGAAAATTGAACCATATCAGTAACCATTATTGAAACTTGACTTTCGTTGATCTCTATAACTTTTTTCGAAATATTTTTTTGTATCTCTGATAAGGAAACAGCTATTGTCCACTCACCTATCGTTGATACATCCTGTATATGAATTTGAGAAAAAGTCTCCCTGAGTTCCTACTCATTCACTCTTTAAGAAGAATATGGAAACCTCCCTAAAATAGGACAGACTGTAAAGATGTTTAGATCGTGCTCTGAAGTTTGTCTTTATATAAACTGCATCATCAGCAACTATAGACAAAAACACATTAATTTTTGCACAAAATTAACCAATCTTTTTATGTTACGATGACAGTACGTTGAAGAATCATACGGTCATATTTCAGTAGATAACAGTTTTCAAACAATAATACTTCACACAAAAAAAAAACAGGAAGTCAAAATGTTTTTTTTTCAAAATTAATTTTAGCTGAAGAATATTTTTCTTTCAATTCATATATCTCCAACTGTCCATCAACAACTTGAATGAATATCAATATGGCTTTGGGAAACAAAGACCCACTATTTTAATTTTGTCAAATATTTTCAATGGAGCAGCCCGGAACGTTATGTGGAACGAGAAGTGGCAATTTTTTTGGAGCTATTCGTTACCTATCCCCAGGCTCATACATGCTAATAAGCCTGATATAGTCCTTCTCGACCATCAAGTAAGATGATATTTGTCCTAAAGTTTTCAACTCCTGGCAAAATGAATATCATCCGAAAGGGGGGGGGGGATGGATAAAATATCGAATGATTATTGGTATCTTTGGTGGAATAATGCTCTCTCTTCTCTCGAATTTCAAAACATTACGTGTTGCCGCACTAAGACAGAAATCTCAGCCAGACAGATGCCGAAGGCTGTCATTCTTGGCTCACTGCGCTTGCTCAGGGCACATGATTCTCGGACCTAATGATAACTTACCTCACGATGTGGGGCTTGGTCGTTGGTTGATTTTGCTGGCGCGCCCTCCCGTATCGAGGCTTAAGGGGGATAAGGCCTAATCAGCGGGAATTTATATAAATGCTTTTATTGAAAGGTAACTCAGTCAAGTTATACCGATTCTCCGCCTCGAATGTTGTGAATTATATCATGAACTTCATTTACCAATGAAAAACTCTCAAAAAGATTTGTTTTATTTTCCCAAAAAGTTTTAAATTTTACTGTTTCCAATGAGACATTCTCTAACAAGTTGACACGCGTATATGGCTGTGCCTGGAGCAGTGCTAATTCCATAACCTCCATGGCCGTAGTTATGAACGACTTTGATAGATTTTCCGTGCGAAACCAAAATTTCCTTTTCAACTCTCACAGGGTCTCGATGCGGTCTTAGTCCCACCATCTGCTTCAGTTCTTTCCCACCTTTCAGACTGGGAACTAATGACATGCACCTCTCCCTTATTGATATTCCATCATTTTTGTCGATATTTCTGTTGTAAGAATCGTATTGTCTAGTACCTCCAAGAGTGAGTCCATCGAATCCTGGAATAATGTAAGTATCATAGTCGTTATAGAAGAAAGTCTTTATCCAAGGAGCCTGCATCTGAAAAGAAAATGAAATTCTCACTCGATTTAACTCACTCAAATCACATAACTGTCAGGGATACTTATGATTTGGAAGTGAATTTACCAATTTCATATGAAATTTATAGTCCAGCCAAAATATGCGTACGTAAGTACTACGTATGTCTATTAAAAATATTTGTTTATGAGATTTAAGATAAAAAAATTTCTTCCATTTCATTATGCTTGTCAACCGTGTTCTCGTGAAAGTATGTCAGATGTAAGATATAGACCAAGCGATTGTCTACAAAAATTTACAAATATCAAGGTTCTGCTCACTGTTTTCTTCAATTACAGTAGCGTATCTGGAGGTTTTTTCCATATGGCCGTACAGTCAAAAAGAAGTAGTAATTATTTCGGAGATCACATCACAGGAGCCATGTAAATAACGGCGACAATGGAATTAATTACAGGTCTAGCCCCTTCGAACCTGTACATTAAGGAGATTGCGTTAATGGCCATGTTACGCTAAATGCACACCCACCGATTTTGGACGGCCGATTTTATACCGGTCGTCCAAATTCCAATAGTGAACCACATGTAGGAACGGGACCTTGCACACATGCTTACCGGTGATCGACGCCGATCACCGGTATAAAATCGGCCGTCCAAAATCGGTGTGTGTGCATTTAGCGTTACGATTGCGCACGGCTGGTGTAAACCTCGAAGTAGGAATGGGTCAAATGAGGCTGATCATATGGCGAGAAGCGCTTACTGCGCAAGCTGCAGGCAACCAGTGATGCATTTGAACCCAGGTTTGTGTTCAATAAACCTTACAAATTACAAATATACAGGAGACAGATTAAGATGCTACAAATGCAATACGCATATATACAGACGGCTCAAAAACCAAAGAAGGCTCAGGATGTGGAGTATACTCTAGATCACTAAGCCTAAAGATCAAGTGGGGAATGGGAAAAAATATCAGCATGAGTCAAACAGAACTGACCGGTATCTCAATCGCAACAAAATGAATAACCAGGAAAATAATTTATGGCAAAAACATAACAATCTGCACTGATAGCAGACAAGCCCCATTAGCCTTGGAAATACAACGTGTAACCTCAGGGATAGTACTAGAGTGCCACCAAGATTCAGCCAAAACCTCGGTATCTAATAACATAGTCCTGAGGTCGATTAAAGGGCATGACAGGAGTAAAGGTAATCGCATTGCCGACTCTTCAGCCAAGGAAGCGGATGGACTGAGAATTTCAGGACCCAGTGGCACCTACAGAATGATGACTTCGACAATTGCGAAACTAGCCAAATGTCACACCCATGCTCAATCTCTAAAGAAATGGGATGAATTCAAAGGATGCAAACTTGCCAGGATCACCCTGAGCGACCCTGGGAAGCTGGCGCCAAGGAAATATCTGGCGATGAACAGGAAAATTGTACGCTCAACAGTAGAATTTCTGAGTGGCCACTGTCAATTGAGGAAATACGTCTACAATATAGGACTAGTGAACATACCTCTATGCAGGATGTGTGAACAGGATGATGAAACTGTCAGGCATATCCTATGCGAATGTCTGGAGTTATCGTCAATGGGAGAGTGTGTGTTTGGCGAGTCTTGGCCTACACCTGCCGATATAAAGGAGATGTCTCTCAGAGACCTGGAAAGGACAAGATGGACTATGACCTAGAAGGACAACTCGTTGGGAAGATGTACAATGGATCACATGTGGCCTGAGTCCTGTGGGCCTACACTCACCCTCCCCACTCCACGTGCGATCATGGCCACCTAGATGCCATTTCAAAGGTGACTCTGAAAAATAAAAGTGGGCGTGAAACCTTCAAAAAATGTCACAATTTGATGATTGCCTCAGAAATCCAAAAAATATTCCGATATGCCGGAGCCATTTTTGGTGTGACCGGAAGTGACCGGAAAGTGGAAAATATATGTAAACGCTCCTCATCACATATCATTCATCTAAACGTCATTTTGATACATCTGATAAACTAGAAGTTATGACTCGTTAACACCCGGTGTACGACTACTAATGTCAGATGATCATTTCCATTAATTGAGCGATATTTTTTTCATAGGTTAGTTAGTATCTAGATTATTTTATATGAATTTTCTATACCTTTATCACCTGTCCTCTGATAGAAACTAATTTGTAGTCCTCGCAGAGATATTTTGCTCCTAGACCAGTACAATTCACAATGACATCAAATTCGTTGCCAATACTCTGTAAACTGTCGATGTGCTTCTGGATCAATTCTCCACCAGAAGATTGGAATCGACTCACAGCCCATGGTAAGTATAAGGTTGATTGCGTAATGATCGTGGAGAAAAAAGAACCGTATTTCCATTGGCCAGGACATAAACTGAGCTCCTGTTCTGTTGCTCGTCTATAGATTGGAACCAATTTTTCAATGTATTGATTCTATAAATATGATAAATCATTACTATTTCAGGAAGGTATATTATATTATGTAATAACATATTAAGGAAAGCCAGAAATTTTACTATTTCACACCTATAAGTACTTTATTCATATCTAAAAGGTGTAAGTACTCTTAAAATATTAATGAAAGCTGTTTCCTCACAGGTTTCATTAACATTCGAAATGTTCATGAACATAAGCGATGAAATCAAGGATATAAAATATTTTGAATCTGGGAAAAGGGACCTTAAATTATAATTCCACAAGAACACTGTAATACGAATGGAAGTCTGGAATGTATTCAATTGAATTTCAATGCAACTACAGTTAAGCCCCCCTGCAGACCAAGGACAGATTTATTAACCTGCCTAGGAACCTATGCGACTGTATTTCAACCTCATACATGAGTCAGTGAAATATTCTCGGACAGTCAAACGTCATTGGAAGCTCTTGGCTCCTACCAAGCAACGTCTGAATTGGTAGCAAATTGCCAAAAACGACTCTCCTCGATAGGAAGATCTAACAGATTGTCTCTGGTCTGGATTCCTGGCCATACTGGCCTGGAAGGCAACGAAGCTGCTGACTCCCTTGCAAAAAAGCAGCTTCATCGGACAAGAACCTGTCATTGGCATCGTCTTAGGCTTTGCCAAACAAAAATTTAACACCTGGATGGCAAGGAGATTTATGGACTTCTGGCAGAATCTTCCAGGATTGGCTCACTTTAAGGCGTTTATTCACCCTTTGAAGCTTGACACCAAACAGTTGTTGGATTACAGTAGTGATGAACAAGGATATCTAACAGGCCTTCCTACAGATCACTTTCATTTGAATCATTATGCAGAGACTCGGACTGTCGGAAGACAGTGTGTGTCACCTCTGCTTGGAAAATGATGAAACAGCAGAGCACATAATTTGTGCTTATCCCGCTGGGGACCGAATCAGGTTTTTAGAGTTCGGCAGAGCCATACTCTTACCATCTGACCTGAAAGATCTCTCACTATACAAACTAGTCGGTTTCGTTAAGAAGCTGGGTTTATTTGGTTCAGTGTGAAAAGGTTGGAGCCACAATAAACCCTTGCGGGTTGTGGTGGAGGTTTGAATAGACCCACTCATTTTGTACCTAACCTAACCAAATCTATACAAATGGAAGTCCGGAATGTATTCAGTGGACCTTCAAAACCACTACAATTGAGTCCCCGTCAGAGACCCAACAGAGCCAAATCAGTTGGAAAAGTATCACAGTAGTATCTATAGAAGACAGATACATTTTCAATCTGATTCTGATTGCACTATATTATTAAGGATTTTTGTGATGTTTATATCTGTATTGAAGCGAGTCTATTCTGCAAGGATCTATAGAAAAAAATTCCAAAATATGGTCTTATCAAAGGACAATTGAATACCAATGTACAATATTATGAGACATATTCATCGTGGGCCATGTATCATAAACAATTCTGAGTAACAAACCACATCAATCAGCTGGTCAGAAAAACAAGTTAGTACTATAGGATCAGGCACTACATGATATTTCTGAGAACAACCAAAATTAGATATGAACTTGAGGCAAGTATAACAGCTTTATCCACGAGGTAAAACTCAGCAACTTGGGAGTCCAGGCATGAGTATGGGGCATATATCTCAATATCTGCCCCATACTAATTCGTTTCGCATCTTTTAGTGGGTTCAAAAAGATTTTCAATGCGTATATGATAATCCATTGTATCGCAATTGGGTGAGCCTATAGATTAGGAAACGGTGGTGGATCATACCAAGAGCACAAATCAGAGATGTGATAAAACAAATTCATAGTAGCCAAACAGAAAACAATTTCAACATCAACTGGTCGAAGGGGCATTTTAAAATCAGCTATCGCTGTGATATGAAGGAGTGGTGCAAACCAACAGGTCCATCGAGGTAACTAGAGATCGATGAAAAAGTTTATGAGCTGACGAGATGAAGCCTATAGGTTACCAGTGATTGAATGAAGAAGTAGCTAGAAAGGAAAGTAGAAAACACGTTAGTAACTTTAGAGTAATGAAGTAGTTTGTCCCAAAATACATGTGAGATCACTTCTAGATCCTCATCAACATATGCAAACTCCTGCTGCCGGTGAAGATGTGCCTCCGTAGCCGATGTCCTGGAATCCAAATGGAATGACGAGACAAGTGTGCTGCCGTCAGCAAAGTAATATATTGGATTCTTGGTTTTTTCCAATGAGTCGCTGATACACAATAAAAAGAGGGTTGGAGACGATAGGGATCCCTGGGGAACACTATCGTTGATGGTGAAAGTATTCGAGAGATATCCATCGACGGCCCACCCAAATATGGGTGACATACGATATAAGGTCGCCTGTTGATCTCTGTTTCCGAAAGCCATATTGATTATCGCCCAAGAAATTGAAGCCTGAAGGATATGGTGGTTTACGACTTTCTCCATGATTTTCTCACTGATAGCAAAGCGACTGGTCTATAATTATTTGAAATATTTTTCTTGCCCTTTTTGGGAATATTCCATAGATAAAAACCACTGAAATCGCATGAAAGGGTTTATGTTGTGAGGCTACTTGAACAGAGAGCACTTTCACATCTCTGATAGAGCGTAACGTTATGGCAATGACAAAGGACGTCACATTGTTATCATGGTGATGTGTGTCAGGTGTTTCAATAAATAAGAATGCAAGAAAATCGATTAGGGGAAATATTCAGTGTGACCCATTTAAGATGGAAGCACCCTCATGACATCTTTATTTACCAGCCAATTTGGATATTTTTCTTGTATTAGATAGACACTTAGAAAGTTAACTAGAACAATGCATTTCATGATTTATTCAGAGTCAACTATCCTTATATTTCAGGGCTAAAAATCAAATTATGATCATTTGCGATTTTCTAACAAAAAATCTGACTACATCACTGGATTTGTGACGTTTTCAGATGATTTATGTCGAAGTTACGTAGAAATGCATTCAATAATAAAAAAAAAGTTATTAGTGAATACAATTAGAAAAAATATGCTGTTTAATCAACCCACCACTTCAATTTCAGAAGATTCATATAAGTTCTGACACCACTGGATTGAGGAGGTCTTGAGATATGATTGTTAACAATTTAAAAATAATCTGTTTTCTAATTATTGACATTAAAGTTTGTTTCATAAACGGATTAGTTCATATGATTCATACTTTTCATATATAGGGCTATTCGAATTCGTTTCTGTACATGGGGATCTCGTAAACGATGAGATATAGAGTGTCAGTTGAATTATGGCAAAGTTGCGTATTTTCGAGGCCTATTCAATGATGTGAAGAAATCGAATATAGCTCTTTTGGTTTTGGAGATATACAGGAAAAACCAATAAATCCCAAATTATTTTTTTGCCTATATCTTCTTTATTCACAAACATATTGAAAATTTGTCTACATTTTGCTATTGGCACTTGATGTAGGCTCTCAGAATATATCCATGAATTTTTTATCTGACTTGGGCCACCCCCATCTTTAAATTTTTAAATACGGACCTGTATTTTTTGTTGTAGTTTTTGGATCTTAGACGTTTACTCCATAGGTACTGAAAAATTGAATTAAATTCTATATTTCGGGATTTTTCGGTAATATGCAATTATAATTGTGTGAATTATTCCCTTTTGAATTACGGCCCTGGAAATTAGTTGAATGAGTTGAATAAAAACACAATAGAGACTTTCACATCTCCCTGTGTACCGTAGAGTTTTTCGAGATTTTTTTTTCATTTTGAGGTACCTATTCATATTTTTCCATTGCTCTGAGCGTTTTCTACAATGAACTTCGAATAAGAAGACCTTTTATGATAATCTGAATCTATTGATGAGCAGAAAAAAAATGGTAGCAATAATAACATCCGAAACGAACACTATAATTATAATGAAAATTGAAATGAAGTAAGTAATTTATATACACAAAAAAAATTAACTGTGCAAAAAATTTTCGAATTGGAGTCCTTGCCTTCAAGACAAATATTGAGACAATAAGATGGTCTGCAAGATCATCAGATTTTACTATTTTGGACTATTTTCCATGGGAGACATTGAAAAATACGATTTACGCTGGCAGAGAGATAGAAAATGTGGAAGACTCGAGATTGAGGATTTTGAATGATTTCACAACAATGCAGCAAATAAGTGTATTGAGGGCAATAAATAATATGAAAAACCTAGTTTAAAAATATCTCGAAATGGAAGGACTCCAATTCGAACATTTATTGCGCCAATAATTTTTTTGGGTACCTACCTATATACATTATTTCATTTCAATTTTCATTACAATTATAGTGTTCGTTTCGGATGTTATTATTGCTATCATTTCTTTTTCTGCTTATTAAAACACATATAATATATTTTTGATGTAGATATGTTTCAAATAATCATAAAAGGTTTTCTTATTCGAAGTTCATTGTAGAAAACGCTCAGAGCAATGGAAAAAATATGAATAGGTACCTAAAAATGAAAAAAAAAACTCTCGCAAAACTATACGATACATAGGGAGACGTGAAAGTTACTATTATGTTTTTATTCAACTCAGTTATCCAATTTCCAGGGCCGTAATTTGAAAGGGAAAAATTCACACAATTATAATCGAATATTACCGAAACATCGCGAAATATAAAATTGAATATAATTTGTCAGTATGAAGTGAACGTCTACGATCCAAAAACTACAACGAAAAATACAGGTCCGTATTTGAAATTTCAAAGATGGGGGTGGCCCAAGTCAGATAACACTCTATATAAAAGATTCATGGATATATTCTGAGAGCTCACATCAAGTGCCAATAACAAAATGTGGGCAGATTTCCAATATGTCTGCGAATAAAGAAGATAAAGGCAAACAAATAATTTGGAATTTTTTTGTTTTTCCTGTATATCTCCAGAATCAAAAAAGCTATGTACGATTTCCTTACATCATTGAATAGGTCTCGAAAATACACAACTTTGCCACAATTCAACCGACACTCTATCTCTTATCGTTTACGAGATCCCCATGTACAGAAACGAATTTTAATAGCCCTGTATTTTTCATAAATACAAGGATCTGAATTATATTTTGCTAAATATCATTTCGAATCGACTCTTGTAGTCAAAATTTCATTAAACGACAATTTTTTCAAATTTCACTCCCTTATAATTTTTTCATTGATGAACGGATCTTGTTGAAATTTTCAACAGTGCTAATATATTTTTTTATTTTTGGCCTCGAAAAATAAGAATAGTTGGCCCTGAAAATGACGAATGATTCGTGGAATTTGGTGTCCCAGTAGACTTTCTCAATGGCTGCTTCATGGAGAAAGAATCAATCGAATCGGTTAAGAAATATAGATTTCATAGTTAAGGGTGTTTCCATCTTAAGTGGGACACACTGTATAAGAGCATCGAGTTGCGAATACAGATGAGGTCAATTCAAAAGTCGGTTTGAAGCCAAGCTTCAAGAAAAAGCGACAGTAAATGAGTGAAATAAATACATTAGTTATGAAGTATAATCAGAATTAATTTTGAGTGGTTTCATGAGTTATTAAAACAGTGATAGAGCTCCAACTTCTAGCGTGAATTGAATCCGAAACAAACATTGTTTCCACACACCATGACTGCAACACTCTTTTCGACGCGTGTTTCATGTATCAAGTTGTACGGTTCATCTTCTATTTATATCTCGATGACGATGCATGAAACACGCGTCGAAAAGGATGTTACATTTCTGATGTATCTCATTCGTTGTAGTGATTTCTCAACCACAAAATACTCACACGAACGATACTGGGATGTTCACTAGAAAATATATATCCAGATATTTCCGCTACACCAGCTTCGACACCGTAAGAACTGTCTCTTATGTTCTCCCAATGATGATATGAGTCGTTGATCCATTTTCTTGAAAAAAAAAATCAGTTGTTGAGTATAATAATGAAACGTTGTTCAACTTTATTTGGTTATCTTCACCCACCACCCACGAGGAAAGTAAAATTGTATTATGAAAAAACTGCTCTTCCAGCTTCTGCCAAAAATCTTCATTATAGTTTTTCAAACTATATTGAAAAATTGTAATTAGATAACTTCATGAAGGTGTTATAAGTGCAAAAGTTACCATACAGTATACACCCATACTCAGACATGTGATCGATTGGAATGGCCTGCTTGTTCACCGGGTTTGACTTTGGGATATATCAAATCGAAAGATTATGTTAAAAAAGCTGGGAAGATATTATAACTCAGACACGGAATCACCAGAATTTGTACTAGCATTGTTCCAGAAATATTCCAAATTACGCTAAATGCACACACACGATTTTGGACGGCCGATTTTATACCGGTCGTCCAAATTCCAATAGTGAACCACATGTGAGAACAAGACCTGGCACACACGCCGACCGGTGATCGGTATCAATCACCGGTATTGTGAATATGCGAGTTAACGAAACTATCTCGTTCGACAGTTCTTCGAGTCATTAAAGTAGGGGATGTCATTGACCATGCAATGAAACGAAAACAAAGGAATAAAAAATTCGCAAACGTTGATGGTGCTACAAAAGATGTGATTCGGCGAACAATTTATGGTATATACCAAAAAAATTAAGTACCAACTTTGGAAATGATTGAGTAAAAACTACTCGACTATCCCGATTACAATTACAAGTCTTTAGAAACTCTACGAGGTGTCTTATTATCTTGTCAAATATGGCTGGGTAGACAAAACCAAGTATTGTGCTTTGAACACACCTTCTTCAAGGGAAAAACCCGAAAAGATTCCAACGCTCAAGGTATTACTGGCGACCAGAAAACAACGTGATTTCAAAAAAGAGTATATTCTTGATTCGATGTGTGAAACACGTGGTCATATTCTCTTACGTTTGCCTCCATACTATTGTGTGTTCAATCCAAGTGAAATGGTTTGGACCACAATGATAGAAAGCTTGCGGAAATGTAATCAGTCACCGACTTCGAATGCTGTAGTGCTTGACAATATTAGGCGAGTGGTGAATGAAGTAGGTAATAGTAATGTGTGGAAGAACTGTGTGGCCCACGTTATGGAAGAAGATAACAAATATTATGTGCAAAGTTCCATAAATCCGATTGTTATTCAACCTGATGATGATTATCATCCGAATATCGCGAAGAAGAATTTTGATTTTTCTTGCAATTTTGTTGGCCTCTATTATTCTGTAAATATATGTTTGACGAGAATTGGATGTGATTATTCGTGTTTTCATTGTATTTTAGAGTTTTCGACTCGGAAATCAACTACTTTGAATTTCGAAGTTTTTCATAATTACCCATGGTGGAAAAATTCAGTTGCGATAACTTTTTCATGGGGTGATCAATTGCTATCATTGTAAGAATAAATAACTGAAAAACTACCACTGAAAAATAATATGCCGACGCCTATGTCGAGGCGGGAATTCTTTATCTGTGCTGTTCCAATTGGTATTGGAAATACTATACAAAACACATTTAGATTACATAGGATCTCAGGCACTGATAATTATGAGATTTGTAATGAGACAAAGTACACATTTCAATGATATTATAATGATTACTTCACTTTATAATAGTTTGGTCAGACATAAACTTGAATATGGAGCTGTAGTACAGCCTCCTTCCTCTATTGTGCATTAAAATAGATTATAAAAAATTCAAAATAGATTTCTGAGATATTTATATTTCAAAAAATATAAAGTATATCCGAGTTATAAAACTACGAAATGAATTTAAAATACTCAGTCTAGAAAATAGGAGACAGGCAAGTATGAAGTTAATGTGTTATAAAATATATAAAAAAAATTATACCTAACTGTCGCAACCTTTACCAAAAGAGACATTACCCAAAAGAACAACAAGACTCATATAATTCTCTGATGAACCATATGTATCAACAAATAACTATTTACCAATCATTACAGTGATCAAAATAACAAACAACTTCCTGTTAATGTCAGATACCAACTTTGTTTTCCCTCTCAAACACGTTTATAGTGGTGTGAAAACAAACTTTTCTTCCATTCGGCTTTATGTAGTAGTTACTCGTATAGACAATGTAACTATATTCACGTATCAATATTAGAATTCTATTTATGATTTGGACTGTATTTGCATTTTTATAAGAATATTTTCATGTAATGAGGTTTTTACCTGTTTGAAAATGAACAAATAAATTTGAATTCGTACAGAAAAATCGGCCGAAAATCGCTTAACGATAGTAATATGCTGAAAGGAGGCAAAAAATTGATATTTTGAAAAAAACTATCAGCATTAGTGTATATTGCAGAATTGTCTATTGATCGGTTTTTATTGAGATGTGGGGCCACAAAAACCTGTGACATTAAAACGGACAAAACTTTTGAAACAGTCTACCATTTTTCATATGAAATGTTACAAGACACCCTCTCCATTCATAAACGAAGATCAATAGCACCATTTTGGTTGCACAGTATTGGCTTTTTTATCATAAATTACTAAAAACATTTTTTTACAAAAATTTTGTCTGAAAATTAAGCGGGGAGAGAACTATATAGGTCCGCAATGTATGAAAGTAGATAAATGTATCATCGAATATTTCATCGATATCGGAAATATTTTTTTTTGTCTCAACTGCATTACACATGTTGATAATAATACTACCATATGGGAAACTTTTTTATTATCCATTTGTCAAAAAAAAATCCATCACATATAGTCAGTGTGCATACTTGAAGACTGGCTATAAATCAAATCATCTAAAGGAACAATTTGCAGGCCAGTCTCAACTCCCTACACTGTAGGTTAATGGACTGACGCCTATCAGAAAACAACTACTCCCCACCAAAAAACTAGTAAAAATTTAAAGCATTTTCAACAAACATCGATATACTAGTTCGAATAATGAATTGGATTCAATTTAGCATCGAAATAACATTATAGAAATATGAGGGAGGCGCCTAAGGTGAATGTGAGATATTAGTAATCTGTATGAGGCTAGAATCATACAAAAATTGTTTTTTTTTTGTTTCGTCACGTAGGTGGCTGTGATTCCAAATCTGTATATGGTTTTTAAACTCAAAGAACTCTTCCAAATGAAATTTTTCAATAATGTCAAAAATAAGGGTAGTTTACTCTTGATCAAAATTTCAATTTTTTGTTTTTCCCCTGTACACCGTTCAGAAATTTAGAATTTTAACAACTCATATTAAAATTTTTCGCAATGCACCAATTTTTATCTGGGATGAAATTTTCTGAAAAATGGATAACAAAAAAGTTTCCCATATGGTGCAAACATTTTGAAACGCACTGTATTAGCTAATCAGTTTCAACGGTAGTACAGAGAAGGCAAGAATCTAAATTTACTTTGCTAATAATTTATTTTCAGTAATGAATTGCCCGTTCACGCTGGCTAACTCGCTAAATAACTTACTGCGTCACTTCTCTGTTTGGTCCAGCGAAGCTGTTCCCAGGTCGAAACAAACCGGCAGCAACCCAGCTGGTTGTGTCTTCATTCAGTTTATCTGCTATGATACTCACATGGGCATTTCTGATATTATTCTGAATTTCAAGGGCCGTAGTTACACCGATAACACCTGCACCAACAACTGCTATTTTCAAATCGCTCATGATTCCGTCTACTAAATGTTATCTGTTTTCTCACAGACTGTCGTGGGAAGTCTGAATTATCTCGAACACATCTACGATTGCCGAGGTCATGCAGACTGATTATTCATCACATGTTTCATTTGAAAATTCATGTTGGTAAATACTATCGAAGTCAGGGAGTAGATCAGGAAAATTAGTGTTGACAGAATATTGGATTTCAATTTGATTCGGAAAATAAGTAATAGTTCAATACCTTGCGAAAGTTCCCCTTTAATAATATAGTTAGGGAGCTAACTGATTTCGTTATTCAATAATCATTTCTGATCGGTAGTCAAGCGGTTCGGCGTGGGTGATTTGTTCACTCACTCGAATTGACTGCCGTGTTGGTCGGTGGTTCAAACCCTAGTCTGAACGATCGATCTTATCTTGTTATCGTCCAACCCGTGTTAGGAATCACACGTTAAAAGATAAGACCTCGTTAATCCTTAGCTCGCACAAGTTTCGACTTCTGAGGGTTGTCGTTCGTAGGGGTGCGACAGCTGGTTAACGGAAAAACAGATTTTAAACAGATTTTTTTTTAAACAGATCATATAAGAACCACAATTACTACATAATAGATATTATCGAGTGGCTATAATATTAATCAAAAGGGATAAATTCGTGGCCAAAACACTCAAAAAATGAGGGCAAACCGCGGACACGTGTTTCTGGCTGTTGGCCTCATCAGCGCGGTGCAGCCAATTGCAATCGAAAGCTTCCATATTCTCACTGTCGTCATTCAAATCAATAATGAAATCATTTCCACCATTAATATGGAAGTGTCCAATCTCCATATAGTCATTTTCAACTGAAATTACTTTTTTAATCCTTTTCTGTCAGTCTCCTTCGGTAACATTAGGTACCTACTTCTTCATTAGTTAGCTCTATTACCTCCTTATCAAATTTTGGAAAATTATTTTTACGCCTGATGCATTATTTAAATTTTTCCCAAATCAATTCGATGGGATTGAAAATACAAAAAAAGAAGGGAAATCTCAGTATGGTGTTCATACTTTTCAGGAATACTTTCAAGGGCCTACAGTTTTTCGAATGTTTTTGTCTGTTAAACTTCAGGAAATCGGTTTCTGGTATAGGAATCTTCAAAATACAAATTGTTATCCATTGAAAAACTTTGTATTTCATCTTTCTTCGAATTTTTATTTGGTACTTTGATGAGCTGTCGCGAATGATAGGAAGCATTGTCAAGAATTATTACACTATTTGCAGCCAAATTTGGGATCAATGTGTTTTCAAACCATTCTTCGAAAATATAAGCTTCCATGTTCTTATGATAGTCGCAATGCACAATAAAAAGTCGCGATTCTTTGTTTGCAAGCATATTAGGCGTACACATTCTCGAACCATTAGTCCACCCTTTCGTAACTCGGTCATACCAAGTTTTGTCAAAATAAAAAATTTGCTGTTGTTCTTGTTAATATTTAGTTATTTGTTCTAAGTATTTGTTACGCAATTCCACTATTCTTCTCCTTTCCATAACTGCTTGACGTTTGTTAATCTTTTTCAATTCAAATTCTAGTTTCCTTATTCAATTCTGAAGTTTTGTGATAGCAACTCACGTTATGTCCGAAAGTATTCAATTTCTTCTTTATGATTTTAGTTGTAGCAATCTCATTGCTTTTTAAACAGTTGTAAATTGTTTTTTTCAATTATTTTATTAGATGAACATCTAAAGGTTTTGTTAATCCTGTATCACATCGCGATACATCGCATTCATAAGGTTTGTTTTTGACTATTTCATGTACCTACTGTTGAGAAATAAATTTCGGTCAAATCTGACCGTAATAGTTTGTTTCCTTCGAAACCAAACTTGAGATATAGATTCTTATATGCATTGTTCACGTACAGTTGAGAAAGGAATTTCGATCAAATTTGATGTTGCTTGTAATAGTTTGTTTCCTTCTAAACCAAACTTGGGATATAGATTCTTATATACATTAAAACATACTTTCAATATTCAATATTCAAATGCATCCCAATCTTATCCACTCGTATCTCTTTTTCGCATTGTTCACCATCGCTATTGAAATCACTACACTGAAAAAGTCTGCGCTGTTATCATACTCGAAATTACTATCAATACTTGTCCAAGGACGCCGCATTTTAAACAGATAACAAACATTTTAAGTTATTATAACTCCACCATGTAATACCTGGGGTGTTATTCCAGACTATTACTTATTTAAATTCCAACAACTGTCACCAATAAACATAAAATAATAAAAGGCTTTTGCTGTCACCAATATATCACCATTCCGTAGGGCTGCTGGATTCGTGCTAAACGCACGAAGGTTGGTCTTTTGAATCTTAGCTACACTGAGGGTTTCCCTTTTAACATTCCTCCTGTTGAGGTTGAAGTTTAACTTTGTCAGCTGAAGGCCGATTAATTATTCAATAGTACAGGGACTTACTCAATTTAACGAGCCAATAAAAGATAATATGTGCGGTTATAGATATATTATAAAAAAAAATAATAATTGTCACCAAAAATTAATAATAGTTATAGATTGCAGAGCCTCCATACTTTACCATAGTATATAGAGTGAATATATACCCAAATGAATGGAAAAAATCATATAAACCCCTTGAATATAAAACAATACAAGAAACTCGAAGAAACAAAATTATTCGTAACACAAATCCCTCCTATAATAAATAATAAACAAAAATTAGATAGCTCATTATCAGCTCGAAACACATTAAATCGTATTGCCTGTTAAAGTAGGCTTCAACCTTAAACTTGAAATTCTATCTTGACCAAAATAACAAAAAAACTTTTTATAGGCTTGCCTGGCCGCCGTACAAATATTGACTATCTATCAATTATTTATTAATGAGAGTTTTACTCTAAAACAAAAAGGAAGTGGTATAATTTCCTTGTCTTTCTTTTCAACGTCTGTGCCTCAAAATAACCAATAACACACAAAAATAAAATTCAAAGTGACAACCTCTCTCAATAAGACAACATGGGTGTTAGTACAATTTAAAATTGACTCACGATACTCCGTTTATCCTGGTGTATTCGATTACCCTAGCTGCGCCCGTGGTCTGTCCGTCCTGTCTAGTCCTGATTCTGTAATCCTGGCTAATGCCACAAACAAAACACCAAGTTTTATTTACCTAACCGGCCTAATGCCACTATACCGCAAGATTCACTCCGTCGCCCCCAGTTTATCTAGAAATCCCTATTTCTAACTATTTCTTTTATTTTTTCCCCTTTTTTTTTCAGAGCGTGTACCACTAACTACCGCTTATTCCGCTTACTCCCGTATCCCTCTGACTACAATTAATCGCCCGGAGTCTCGCTAAGTACCCTGTATCGCCCGGAGTCCCGCTAATTACTCTTTTTCCTCAGCGTCTTCCGATGCACGTCCCGCTAGCTACTCGTCTCCCGCTGACCACCGTGTCCCCTAACTACTCTCCAAGTTCCTTTTTTTTCCGGTCTCCCGCAAAAACCTCCGTACCCCCAGTACCGTCTTCAACAAAAATTAGTCCTTTCTCTTAACGTCCCGTGATTGGTCATTCCCTACGGTTTTGCTAAATTATTTCCCATTACCCTTCCCATTTAAAACTTGTATCATTTTTCATCGAACGTTATTGGTCAACCACTATTTTTTATAAGCTGTGGTTCGGCCTATTTAGTTATGGCCGCTCTTTTGCCACTGGGTTCAACATGACCGTTAAAAGGTAATCGCGAAAATGCTTATCTAAATATTGAACTGACCCGGCAGAGAGATGCTGTTCAAAAATGAATTCTTATTTTCAAGGGATTGAATTAACCTTTTCCATTTCCCTTATAATGGCAATTATTACAACCAGTATCGAATTTCAACACTCAAATCGCGATCAGTCCCTGAACTGAAAACGATGGCGATAACGTCTCCTGATTTCTATTCCTCACCGTGACATGACTTCAAATTTAATTTTATGACTCATCAGCCAATCATAAAACTTGGTTAGTAAAAATTATCCAATACGAACCGCCAAGTCTACAGTCCACGTGGACCAGTTTGGCTTTCTATGTATTGGTTTTTTTGGCCTTTGAGAGTGCCGCCAACTTTAAATATGCACAATATCGTTTACTGTGACTGTAATTGATATTTTAAGTCGGGCACATTCATATCACCATAATGACTCAACCTCAATTTCATGTTGGTCCTATATAGATATATCCTGGAAGGAAAAAAAAATTCGAAATAATACGGCTTATACATAATCGGTCAAACAACACGTGGTAAGGCTTCATTTCTACGACTTTTCCATTAGAGAAACATAAGTTGGCCAAAATTAGAGTAGAATTCTCGATTCAACAATGTTTTACTTTTGGGCATCGGTTTAGCCGAGTCAAAGTGATTAGCAATCAAATATAGGGTTTATCAACAGGAACTTTCGAATTTTGACAATTGATAACGGCCATCTCGTTGAAGCTACATCTGTCAAATTATTTTTTAGTCTAGGAATGTAGGCTTTCACGGGTGGCATTGATGTTTTGGTTGGTTTTCAGGTTTTTGCCGTGGATTTCTTTGGTTTTAATCTCCAAACGTTACAACTGCGACTGTGTAAGTCATCTTCAGTGGCCTACCTAAGCTAAGGTCTGAAAAATCATACCGACAGCTGAATGGTCGCAGGGTAATATGCTCATCGTAATCGGCCTTCCTCTGGTAATGCGGGGCTCTGCCAGAGGTAAACTATTCTTCCACTGCTACTCTTGGAAACACACACATGAATGAAACAAACACAACAAAAACAAATACCAATTCCGAGGCTGGACAGAAGTGCTCACCTCAATCTATGGCGGTGGCTGAGGATGTACAGCAATGTCCAATCTACCACTCGAAATGAGGCTGGAAATAGCAGATCATCTCGTGATGTAATACAAAGGCCAAGGCGTAAGCGCATTTGCGGCGCCGAGAAGGAGACAGAGAGCGAAAGAGGCAGAAGTGGCAGCAACTTTGAATGCACCTTCCTCCTCCCCCACTCCACCTCCAACAGCAAGGACACTTCCTGCGGCGGGCGCCGAAAGCTTTGCCTTGAATGAAGGCAAGGAACCGGCTGCC